ATACGGCAGGTGAACTGCTGCATGTCCGGGCTTCTTCTCTTGAGAGTGTAAAAGCAGTGACGCTGTTTGCATTCAGAGCTGCTGCGGCTGCTGCTGCCCATGAAGGTGCATTTAAAAGTCAAATGAAGCCGGCTGACTGTGAGGCTCTTTGTCTCTTCTGCCATAAATGTGCCACCTTTAGAGGCAGATAGTTTGCAACAGGCACCGGTGACATTCAATATATCTTTTTCCAGACCTCTGAATCGCTGATGTTAATTCTAATACCGTTATATTTCTTAAATGGATGTTGGAATGTCAGATTTACTGGTCATAGCAACGATTACTGCCTCTTCAATGTTGGCAGCTAATAATTTCTTAAATATAAATAAAATTTATACAAAATAACTTAGATAAATAACAGAGAAGGGTTAGCGTGACATCCAGCTGAATTACGATCTATTATTTATCTAACTAGTTTATGTTTTGTGCCAAATGTGTCTTTATTGGATTGAAAATCTTATGAAATATGAAGCTCATTGCTTGAAATGTTTTTAAATGTGTGTTGAGTTAATTTTGGGTCCTGAATACCTTCTTACCACCTTTAATGAGTAAAGGTGGATTATATTACTAGCTGGTGGAAACAAATTAAAGACATGAATGCAGCCACATTTAAAGAATCAAACCTCAATATTGTGTCCGTAGCACAGAGTATTGCCAGCTGGCAAGTATTAAAGCATTTTGTTGTATCTGCTCAGATTCATAAACTTGTTCAATTATACTTTGATCTGATTTTTACTGATTTAAATCACAATTTTATTCAATTTTGGACAGCATATTATTGAGGCAAAGGTTCTGCACGTTTGCTTTTTAGACATGTGAAATTATTGGAAAGCCTGTTTTGTTAAACTGATGGAAAAAAGAGTTTGTAGAGGAATGTATTTAAAAAAAAACTTTCATATGCACTCATTGGTCACTTTATTAGGTACACCTTGTTAGTACCGGGTCGGACCCCCTTATGCAAGTTATCTTGACCAACTCTACAGGCCTAAATGCAGAGTGTAGATATTAATACTGAAACTCAGGTAACTGCTCCAAAGTTAAAAGAAGTTGAAAGATGAGCAGTAATATAAAAATAATACAAGAATAAGAAAGAAATAAAAAGTTATTTTATGTTTAATTAGTATAAAAAAGTAAAAACAATTCACTGTCTCGTCACTTCAAACTACCATACGACTCCCGTTAAGATAAATCCACCCCGTAATGTGAGTCACTGTGCACGAATAACCCCAAAACAAGTCAAACCTCAGGGTTGCTTAGTGCAGATGTTGGGCAGCAGTGACCTTACTGCGATAAAAACCCACTGCAGCTGCTGCAGGCTGAAGGATGAACTCGGGTGGAGGACCAGCCTCCTCTGGCGAGGTGTCTCTCCATCCCTCACTCCTCCCCGTCTCCGGAGTCGTGATGACACTGTAGCTGTCCCTCATCTCTGACTCCACCCACCGGCCCCGCCTCCAGACCCAGCGGCAGGGTTTGTCCCCTGACCGACCCCTCCCTTCTCCTCCCATTGGTCCACCCCCCTCCTCCTCCTTTCCACCATCACTTCTCTCCTTCCACTTCCTCCACCCTGCTCCTGGCGGCGTGTGTGTGTTTGCTGAAGTGAAGTAGAGGACGAAGACGAAGAGGTCTTATCGTATCGAAGCACATGCTCCCTGACAGGGGAGGGGGGAGGCTAGCGTTGTGACTCCCCTCCTTCCTCCCCTTTTCTCTCTCCCAGCTGGGGGAAAGATGTGAGGACCACAGAGGACTGGAGGACCGTCTGACTGTCTGTCTGTTTGTCTGTCTGCCGGCATGCTGAGGAAACTGGTCTGCAGGCGGATCTGCTCCTGTAAGCTGCTGCTGCTGCTGCTGCTGCTCTTCCTCTAGATGCAGGGAAGGTTTGAACAGAGCTTGTAGCAGAGAGGAATAGTGGAGGTAGTAATCAGTGAGGAATACAGGCGACAGGAGTTGAGTGCTAAGAGGAGTAAGGAGGAGGAGGAAGGGGGGGGGTTCGTGGTGTGACGACGGCAGTAAATCCAGGAGGAATGCATCTGCGGTGTCTCGAAATGTCAACACAGCAGGATGATGTCTTGGCCTGCTCGCAGCTGAATTGTTGTGCGGACAATACACAGGACGTGATGCAGCCTGGTTGTCTGTCTCTGAGCAGAGTTAAGGTCAGGAAGCAGGAGAAACAGGACAGAGTCTGTCTGCTGTGCAGTTTGGGAGAAATTGGATGTTACGTTCTGCTTTTCATGGCGAGTCAACTTTTGTTTTCCTGCAGATTTATGTAAAGGCCTGTTGTGGATATAAGAGGAGAGATTAGGTGACACGTTGATGTGTGAAAATCAAGGTTAATTTAAACTGCAGAGCTTCGTTTTGTGGCTTGTGTTCAGCTTCAACAACGTTACTTACTTCTGTGATCAGTTTCTCTTGTAAATTAAATTTCTGACCCATGTTGAAATCTGTTATTCTTGCTGAAGGACATGTAGGAGCAATATATACTGCACGTCATTTGCCTACTTAAGACGTCACTCTGTTTGTGAATTCTGTGCAAATTTCATGAGCCATTGAAACCTTTTGAAATGTGTGGAAATGTGAAAATGTGCAGGCGTTTTCCTTTCCTTATGTTTTGCTGCAGGCTCACAGAGCTTCTCTTTCATTGCCCTTTTAAACTTGCTACAACTCCTGAAGAAGAAATGTTATAGCAATCTATATCAAGCATTGTTTCAAATCGTCTCCATGACACGGTGTTAAAATGATCTAAACCTATTTCTTAGCTGGAAGCAGAGACTTACTGAAGTCTTGTCATCGCCAGCGGGGGACTCCAGGAAGTCACTATGTTATTTCCTAAAATGTTGAACTATTCCTTGCAGATAACAAGTCGAGCATTCGTTACACATGCAGGAGAACTTTAGCTTGTGGTAGCAGTGGTTGGTGAAACCCCTGACGTGGACTCTGGTCAGTTTAATGGGTTAATTTGAGTTCAGTAGAGCACAGACCATCACATACACACTGCTGCAACCAAATCCAAGCTAGAAGGCGCACATTTACATTGATTTTTAGAATCACATTGACCATCTGATAGCCTATGACAACATAAATGAATTGATCTTTAAGTGGGATTGGGCCAGTGAAACAGACGCAGTATAATCCACAGTAATCCAGCAAGTAATATTAATTTGATTAGCAATAGCTTCAGAAATGTTTGTTTTTGATATTTGAATCTTTAAAGGGATTTCCTCTTGAGCTGACGTGCTTTTTACTCCTCCTGTTGTCTTATGTTGACCTTAACGTGTTGAACGTCAGGTGACAGGTGTGTTTTTCCTACACACACACAGTCCTTGTGCTGATGTTGAGAGTTGTTGCATCGCGCTTTGATCCTGCAAGGAGGAAAAAGTGCAACCTGATGGCACGTGACTGACGTGTTGGCCGAGTGCCCTGCTGCTGCTGCTGTGTGTAAACTTTAAATAATGAAAGAGGATTGATTGCTAGCTGTGCAGATTCCTGTGCTGAGGGGGACTCACGTGGTGCTCGGTTGTGCACCACAGGAGACATTTCCACAGGGCGGTGCCTCTGTTGTTTATGCACCTCTTTGTCCACATTAGATGGTATTCAACAGATCCATCAGTAAAGATTCACAGCTCAACTACTCATTCAACAAAATAAGCTGCTGATGCACATCAGCACATCTTCACGGCTACCGATCCTGAAAACGACAGTTTTGTAGAACAAATGTGGATTTTGAAATAAATTTTGACCCGAAATTTTCAATTAATTGAATATTCCCTCTCAGCTTCTCAGTTGTGAGACTTTGTAGCTCTTCTTTGTCTTATGTGACAGTAAACTAAGAGATAAGAGAAAAATATTTTCATGTTTTAAACTGTCTGACATCTGAAGATGTGTTCTTTGATTAATTGAGAAACAAATTTGCAGATTAATTAAGAGGATAAACTTAATTTGTAACCCTACCACCTCAAGCACAAATAGATAAATGTGTAGATTCAGTACAACTAAACCTTTTTTAAAACTTACATTTTGAGAAACTCCTCCTGACTGAAACATTGTCATTACATAGTGCCTTTGTAACTCAGAGTTAAGGTTGATCTAGAGCTGCAACTGTTATCATTGTCATTATTGATCAATCGGCTAATTGCTTAGTCAGAAAAATGCTGTTCGCAATTTCCCAGAGCTCAGTGTGACGTCTTAACATGCCTTGTTTTGTCTGACCAACGGTCAAAAACCCAAAGTCCTTCCATTTATAATGATATGAAACAGAGAAAAGCAGCAAATGCTCACATGGAGAAGCTGGAAACCGGGAGTCTTTGGTGCTTTTGCTTGATTAATTTATTGGTAATCAAAATAGATGGTGATAAATTTTCGTTTCAACATGAATCAAAACCTAGAGGACTGGGTTCACCAACAGTAACGTGTCATTTGTTTTCTATAGCACGTCGTTATTTAGCTCTGAACATGCATAAAATGAAGAAGCCAAGCTGAGCACAACCCTAAAAATGTAAGTACGTTTTACTGAGATGTGGGTGTTGTTTACAATAATCACAAAAATATTCAGAGGAAAGAAGGTTTGAGTTGGTCAGAATCGGAGCAGAAGCCCATGTTTCTGTGCGCAGGGAACCATTTTCTGCTGTTTTGCTCTCCTGTGGGTGTCTCTCTGGGCTTCTCGCTGGGAACACAGGATTAATTGTTCAGTTTATTGTTCAGGGCTTTGTGTCTCTGACCTTCGCGCTCCTCGCCATCGTTAGCTTGTTATGTTGGTGATGTAGGAATGTAAGTTATGTACTGTGCATCAGTGTCTGCTGAATGTCAGCTAGAAGTTAAAATGCAGAAATGTCCGAGTCCGCCTGCCGGCTCCGCGTTGCTGGGATGCTCAGCGGGTTTTTTTTGTGCTGGTCGAGTTTACTGAAGACTTGTTGTTCGTGCATGTGACCAAACCCCCCGGTTTCTCTTTTCTGCTCTTCCTCCTTCAGACAAAACCTTTGAGGACGATGACTCGGTGGACGGCGGCCGCTCCACGTCCTCGTCCAAAGGAGCCTCGCTGTCCGGGAGGAAGCCAGTGAGCATGGGTTCATTTCGACGCCCCGCCTCCGGCTCCAGCGCCAAGTCTGCAGGTCAGAGCCGACATCGCTGTATGACGCGTCACTAACTAATCTGCACGTCCAAATATCATGTCAGCTAAATGCATAAATGTAATATGTTTGTATTTACTGTTGCTGTGCAAAGTTTTGATCAGTCATAGTGCTTCATCGATCACAGGGCTGGTGGTGACATCAAACCCTGACAAGCCCAACTAACTAAAGTTCTGCAATCACAAAATAATTTATTCGAAGACAACATCTCGTTACGTGTTTGCCATGTGAATTATTTACCTCCCTGGTTTATTCAGCTGGGTTTTATTTATTTGCACAAGATAAAATGTGCACAGAAAAACAACACTGGATATAGGAAATATAGGAAATCGATCAGGCTTATTGAAAACTGACCTCTTTCAATGACTCTGAATTCATTTGAAAATACATTTTGAAAAGATCTGGACTATTTCACCTCTCTGAATTTTATCTTGTATGTAAAAGTTCACATTTTGGAATAAAAAAAACATTAAGTTATAATTAGTAAAAGCTTCTGATGGGATGTGACTGAGCGGGTCTACAAGTTCCATCCAAGTGTCCTCGAGCAGGCTGGGTAGCTGGCTGCCACTGAGGTGTGGAGTGTACTGTAAAGCATTTTGGATAACATCAACTCACTGGTCATATCTAATCTTGTAAATCCATTCCCGTCCTTCACGTAGGTTTTCGAGAAGCAGCTTTTCCAACAGATTAAATTTTGTCTGGCTTTTTATCGTCCCCTGGTGTTGTCTGTAGGGAGGGACGGCTCGAGTGCTGGAGCGGTGGATGAGGAGGACTTCATCCAGGCCTTTGAGGATGTTCCCTCGGTGCAGGTATGGAGTCTTGTTTTAGTCCAGATTTTTAAGATTGTTTCCATACAACGCAAGAAGAATTACTCGGCTTTCTCCTACCCATCCTGCTTTATTCCTTTCCTGCCCTCCACCAGATCTTCTCTAACAGGGAGGTGGAGGAGGCCATGACGAAGGTTCGAGACGTGCTGTCAGACGATAAGAGGGACTGGGAGCTCAGAGTGGCAGCTGTAAGACCTCTCTATCATCTCAGTTTTAGCATCAGTTAGATGAAAATGTCTTTGTTGATCGCTGTTTCTTCTCGTCTTCGTGTTTCTCCAGCTGAAGAAGGTGCGTTCGCTGCTCCTGGCCGGCGCGGCAGAGTTTGATGGGTTTCTGCAGCAGCTGCGGCTCATGGAGGCGGCGTTCAAACTGTCCGCCAAGGACCTCCGCTCTCAGGTGGTGAGAGAGGCCTGCATCACCCTGGGGTAAGTCTATGTGGAGGTGGAGGTTTACCTTCAAATCTGCTGCAACACAATAAGAGAATAAATCATGTAATGGTAATATGTACTTGTTTATAGTATTCTATATATATTTAAAAACTCATTTCAATCCCTTTTTTGTACTTTATGTTCTTGTCTTGCATGATGAGCATTAAAATGAAGCTGTTTGTTTGCTTGTTGTTGTTCAGTGTAACACAGTGTGCTAATTGCTCATGTAGTCCAGCTAACCTGAGCGTCTGCCCTGCTCTCCTGTCACCAGCCACCTGTCGTTGGTGCTCGGCAGTCGGTTCGACCACGGGGCAGAGGCCATCATGCCGACCCTCCTCAGCCTGGTCCCCAACACTGCCAAAGTCATGGCCACCTCCGGCATGGCCGCCATCCGCCTCATCCTCAAAGTAGGTGGCAGCTTTACTCAGAAGATGTCTGTGTTTGTTGGGATGTTGTGAGAGTATAAAGACTCCTCACTGTGTGTAGAGTGTAGTTATGATGATCATTGACTGTGACATATAAGCAAGTAAGGAACCAAAACTGTTTTTGCTGCCTTTTGTCCTCCTTGTCTTGATTTTACTGTACTCCCAGAACTGAATATGTGCACGAGGCAGCATTATAATGATGTTAGCTTAACGTTTACAGATTTTAGTTCACCTCCTGGCTGCCATCAAAGGTTAAATGGTCGCGAAATGGGATAAATACCAGGCAATAACAGATGGGGATAAGAAGATAAGCACATATATAGAGCCTATGTTGAAAACCCTTTCCCTGCCTGTTAGTAGGAGAGATGTGAGTGCTTAACAGTTTTAATGTGACGCCAAATATGATTTGGTCCCACAAATCATATTTCATGTCCACAAAAAAAAGAAAAGAAAAAAAGACTCAGTTGATGTCAGACTGAATAAATCACCATTTCATTTTTAACGGAGAGGAAGAAAAGGCAACACACTGCACAGTGAGAGAGTTTCAGTAAAGAAAAAAGAGATTTCAGCTGGATAGAGAGTTTGTTCACACCAGGTTTTGATGCGTTTTGTTGCGTTTTGCAGCACACGCACTACCCACGTCTCATCCCCATCATCACCAGCAGCTGTACCTCCAAATCTGTAGCTGTCAGAAGGTGAGACGCAGATATTTATTTTATTATTACTTTGACTTTTTATTGTTATTTATTTTCTTATTTTTGATTTGAACATTTCTGTTGTTGTATATTAATGTATTGAATATTTTTCATATTTTTTTACATTCTGTATATTATCTTATTAAATACATTATTTCATTTAGTTTTACTTACTATTTATGTTTTTGTATTTTATATTTACTTTAAGTCGGTTATTTAAATTTAATTAATTTATTTCTAATTGTAATTGTATTCATCAATGTATCTTATTGTTTTTATTTATATACTTTAGTTTAATTTCTATACGTATTTTATTTTCTATTGGTATTATTCGATTTTGACGTTTTGAGTTTCAGGTGGTTCAAATTGCAGTTCGCTTTTGTGTTGCTGTTTTCTCATTGTTGTCATTATTATCATTTCTTTCTTCAATGTCTCTACAGAGGTTTGGAAAGTCAGGGAGAAGTTTTGAAATTGAATTAAATGTGGAACAGCCTGGATGAAGTGTTCCTCTGTGCTCGGATCACAGCTCATTGTTGTCTTCGTCTTCTTGTTTGCAGGCGCTGTTATGAGTTTGTGGACCTGCTGCTGCAGGAGTGGCAGACGAGCTCTCTGGAGAGGTGAGCAAAGAAGCTGCTATTAACATTTGTGACTGAAAATATTATGATCTGATATTCATCAAGTTAACAGACTTTAACTTTAAAGTTATCACAAAAAACAAACAGCACGTCTGAATCTTTGTTTCCGGGTCAGTAACAAGCTGGAAGATGCAGATATTTTCACAATAAGCATGAAGTAAAAAGGTGCCAGTGGCTTGTGGATTACTTAAAGTACAACACGCTAGTTTTGCCTGGGAATACGACACCGGCCGGGTCAAGGTCTGTCTCTACTGTTTCCATGGTGATGCCAGGGTGATCTCTGTCTGCCTCCAAAAGCCTCGTTGTGTTTCCGCCTGGCTGCTTCCTGCCGCCGCCAGGGAGAAACCCGAGCTGACCCTCCCGTACCAGGGGAGCTCTCTGCTTCTCATCGATCAGTCAATCAGTGTGTGAGATACTGATTCTAAATACCACCCAAGTACAAATCACACACTCAAATAAAAGGCGGAGTGCATCATCAGCCAAAGAAGAATAAAGAATAAGAAGCGCTGTGACAGAAATACAAGTTGCTTGTGTAGGGTCGTTTATATTTGTCAAAATAAGATATTGTAAAAATATGTCATTTTACTTTGAAACTGATATTCGTGTATCAAAACATTTGAAATGAGCCGTAATAAAAACGATGACCTTTAAAATCCACAATATCAGCTCGTTAAGTTCCCCAAACTGCAGAAACAGAGCGACACGGGCATCCCAAAATATTGACTGATGGAGCTGTAAAAGCCCAAAGTGATAGTTGAGCTAATGGAGACAGCAGAGCAGATGGCTCCTCTGACTCATACATGAGTTCAAAGGTTGGTACCAGAGTTTATCGGAGGCTAGAGAAAGATTCACAAGTTAAACACTTTCACATCATTGGACATCTTAAGACAGTCGCGTGAGTGCAGATTTAGTGGTTTGAGGATATAATATAACACTTTATCCACTAAATGTGGGTTTAATTACCTTGAAAGACAGATTCTAGCTGACGTGAGGCGTCCGAGTTGGAAGGGAAAAGAGGATTTCCCCACCGGAATCAAGTAAAGCATCACATTACGTGACGACATTAATAATTCACCGAGCTGCTCTGCATTACAGACCGCTGGTTTTTATGTGTATTCCTCTCTGTCACGTCAAACAAACCACTGCTAAATCAACATTTTTCTTCTTTTTCCCCTTCTCGTAGACATGGAACAGTTTTAACTGAGATGATAAAGAAAGGGATTCACGATGCAGACGCCGAGGCTCGCTCTGTGGCCAGAACGTAAGTCACGCCCATCCATTTTACTACGGAGCCAGTACGTTATGTACCTCATATCATGTAGGACCACCCTATATAAACACAAATGGCCTCTGACTTCTTCTGTCAGGTGTTACTGGAGTTTCCACGGTCACTTCCGTCGGGAGGCGGAGCAGCTGTTCCAGGGCCTGGAGTCGTCCTATCAGAAAGCTCTGCAGGCACACCTGAGGAGCGGAGACAGCCAGATGTCGCTGCCCGCCTCGGATCGCTCCTCCTCGTCCTCCCAGGAGAGCCTCAGGTGAGACGCGTCTTCCTCTCTGATTGACACAATTATTGATTAACTGGGAAACATAAGAAGGTTTTATTGGAAAGCACTACAGTACGTACAGCATCTGATCATGACATCCGTCAGTCATCAGGGGCCCTGCATTAGTACGTATCCACCATATATATCTTCATCCTAAAATCCTCTTATGTGTAGAAATAATTGTGACACCGGATTGATTATGTCTTCTGCTCTAGTACTGATTATAGATCTATCGCTGGCGTCATGGACTGTGGCTGAATAGAAATGACACCACTTAAATGGGCACTGCACCAATGCTGCTTCGATTTTTACCATTTTTTGATCTGCCCCGCAACTTTATGGAAGTGCACTATGAAATTGCTGATGTCCTCCTTTAAAATGTATGACTGAAAGAACAGAACAGGCATGAGGCAGCAGTAAAATCAATGATAACACACAAATATAGGATCTATAAATGGTTTGTGAAAGGCTGCATGTACAACAAGTCTTCAATGATGTAAAAACAGTAATATCACAGTATTGCTTTTTCCACAGGCGGCTCTTCATTTTACTGTCAAATCAACTGAACAATCACTAAAATATTGAAGTAGTTTTTGCCTGTTATTCGTCCGGTTTGTAAATCAATAGCATCACTTTTATTAAAAGGAGCTTTATGCTAAATTCACTTCCACTAAATGTTTCACTAGAGAGCACCAGCATCTCAGACTGCGGCCCGCCAGAGTCTGTTGAGAAAAACTGTAATTTAAGTACCTCGCAGATCATTGTAGAACACACTTCATTCAAACTGGACAGACAGAACACAAAACCCACCGTAACTGTCTTTGTTAGTGTCTCCACTGTTCCCACATCACCAACTCTTTCTTGGTTAGAAATCAACCCTGGCTCTACGCCTCAGCCCGCAGTCGCAAAACAGGCACCAATGGCTGCTGGGAACAAATGCGCTAGTCAAAGTATGTCCACCGAAGTGCTTGTTTAGGCCACTGATAGGCTCAGACTGCTATTACAAGTGTCTGACAACATTACGGAAAGGATCCCTACAGAGAGAGACCTTTTTTAAATAGTAAGATCCATTCACCCTCAGACTCCATTGAAAAAAAACAACAATAATTTTTTTTACCTTGCGGGTCATCGTCAAACACAAAACAGAATAAAACTCACCAAAACCCTCTTGGTTAGTCTTTCCACGCTTCCAACAAACACCAACTCTGGTTTGGTTGAAATACATCCTCAACTCATCACGTTAGATGAGGAAACAAACAGCCGTAATATCGCTCTCCTCACCGGCGAACAGAGAGACGAACACGCGTGTGCCGCCGAACCGGCGGTATAAACAAAGAACAGAGAGGCTGGGATAACAAAACGCCTTCGCTCCACTGTATCTTTACATAGCAACTACTGTTTGCTGCTATATTAATGTTGAGGCTGTCATATACAGAGCCTATAAGCCACCACCGATCATAAAATAAGATTACATCACCTCCTGGTTTCCTTTTCCACTCCCTCTCATCTCTCTGTGTCACTTCTTGTCAACCGTGTAAATATATTCTCTCTGTCTGAGCTCAGCATTGATCTTTGTGAGATATTGATCTTTGTGCCATTGATGTCTCGCTAAAAAGCTCCTGTATTGATGTTTGATGTCACGTTATTCTACAGCAGCGTGAGGGAGGTGAGCTAATGGGCGGATTGATCGTGTCTGAATCAGTCACAAATCTTTAAAAAGACATAAGTGACACACAGATGATGTATTTTAAATATTTCGACACAAACTTTTCTATTTTTACTTGGTAGAGATTATGCTGCCTCCCATATCTAGAAAAGTAATATTGTTATTTTCTATACTTGTTTTAATGGTGGGTATCTCTCTTTTTTTGTCTCCGCAGTCGACAACAGTCTGTAAAAAACACCTTTGGAAGCAGCACAACAAGATGTAAGGACACGTCACGCTACACCTAACGTACAAATGTTGTGAGGAAGTAAAATCCCAGACTGTTTATAAAACTATAAGACAACGCTGGGAAATTATCACAGCAACAGTTATTTTAGTCATGTCAGTCCAAACACAGCGTTAGTATCAAGACCCTGTAGAATATTATTCAAAATGCATGAAAACCAGAAAACACTAGTCCTGATCCAGGACTGACATCTCACTGAAGCCGGGCATTTTAGTCTTTTGCCAATGCCAATGCCAATTCTTAGTGACTTTTATGGTGGAAAAAAAATTCCACTCAGGTTGGTCTCCAATTAAAATCAGTTCAAAACGTGTAAAATGAATGATGCTGTAAGAAGAAATCTGCATTCTCTTTTTATATATCTTCCATCCTCGAGTGGCAGCACCTGTCTCTGTTGGAATAAAGAATGATTTCTGTAGCTTACCTCACACTTGTTTGATCCGCTAAAAAGATTACAAACCACCCGGGGAGTGTGGATTTTCAAGAGCTCTTCCCAGAACAACGTTTATGAAACTCTGAACGACTGAAATGTGCTGTTTTTGAGGGATTTATTAAGGGACAATAACATTTATTTCTACCTTGCTAAATATTCAAAAGGGAAATGTGATGCTTTGTTAAGTGCAGTTCATGACAGGAAGAAACTGAGACATTAAGCTGCCGTAGTGTTGGATACCCGTCACATGTCGATCCTCTCTGCTGAAACCTCCTGCAGCCAAAGCTGCCCACACCAGGACGCCCGCTGCAGCCTCCTCCCCAGGTTCCCTCCAGCGCTCTCGTAGCGATGTAGACGTCAACGCGGCGGCCACGGCCACCGCCCGCACCAGGATGCCCGCCGTGCCCTCTGCCATGTTGTCACCGGTTTCGTCCTTCAGCTCAGCCTCGGCCCTTCCCCCTGGATCCTACGCTTCACTGGGTAAGGAAGACCACTTTGCTTTTTAAACATCGATGTGTCACAGTCGGGTAAACCTTCCTAGCTTGGTAAACCAATAGAAACCGGGACATTAACAAGATCCAAACTACATTTCCAGCGTCAGTAGCTGTCAGAACCTTTTGTTGAGATGTTTGTTTGGAGGAACATGTAGCTTTAAGGTACAAGTATGCATAAAAACATGGACAGAAACTGCAGTCCAATACAAACAGTCTTGTTTTGCTGGATGACAAATTCAAAAGATTTAGTCTTTTGTTCACAGAAGGTTTAAATATTTTTAAAGCTTTTAGCTCAGTATTATATAAACTTGTAGATCAAAAGTTGTGCTCATCTCGGAGCATATTGTTCACTGCGTTTACTTTCTTCATAAAAACTAAATGCAGATTTTACATTAGAAAACAGTCACTGATGGATTACTGCATTCTGTAAAACTCTGAAAGCTTGAGAACAATTTGCTCTAAAGAACAGCTCATTGTTCTGCGCGTTTTCGAACAAGGAACAAGATCCAGATGCACAGCACCTGAGTTTGTTGAATTCACTCCAAGCTGCGCAGACAGCAGATCTCATGACTGAGATCAGAAGCTCGCAGCCTTAAATTCATGTCATTTTTATCGCATCATTTACGTCTTGGACACATAATGCAATCACTCAATTCTTTGCACCCTTTCTACAACACTGTAGACGCACTTCTTTCTCCATTACAGGCTATTTTGGTAGATGCTGTTTATGGATTTCCATCAAGTTATAAAATATTCTGAGACATGTTAATTTAATCAGAAGACAACCTCACTGCCCAAATCAAATCTGCTGTATCTCAACTGTTCCCCCACCCGCTCACCTCTTTGATATGCACATCTAAAGCTTAACCTCTTGACCCCTGTTGTGTCTCTCCTGGGCTCGCCCACCTGTCAGACGGCTCGTCGTCTGTTAATGCAGACGGTAAGCTGTGTGCGTGTGTGTGTTTCTATATGTGGACAGGGGAATGATGCTCCTCCATGTCTCCTCGGTGTGTGTTTTACCCCCCATCAGTACTGTAATGGTGATCATCTGTGATGGATCTGTCAGTGCATGGACTGTCTACGCATGGTGCACTGTAACTTTTCTCCCACACTTGGAAAAACAAATTATATATTAATGTTGGTTGGAAACGTAGAGACAAGAGTACAAGTGAGTGAATCGACGGATAAGTTCACAAAAGTCTGGAGAAACCGAAGGACAAAACAGATGGAGTTGTTGAATCCACAAGTTTCCTTAAATGATGTTCCTCACCATAAAAACAGGAGCGTCTGCTTCCACCTAACATGCCTGCAACCTTGAGAATAAATCGAGGATGTTCCTGTTTGACTGTCATGTGTTTCCCTGGCCTGAAGGGAACAAGTTCGCCCATAGCTACGGGACTGGACTCTCTGGCCAGCCCTTGTCTTGGTGAAAGATGGTCAAAGCATCAAATAAAATGCTTCATGCTTGCAGGATTGTCTTGGCGTGGCACAACTCAACATTTCCACCGTTTAATTCTGCTGTATTTATAATTATCTCTGGTCCCATCAAAAATCCAACTACATTGGCAGCTGCAGAGATACACATGGAGGAAACAAGAACTATTATTCGGTGCCAGTGACGGTGAATACAACTAGTTCAGAGGAGCTAACGCTGAACCACAAATCTAATCTAAAATGTTGACTCCTTGTGTTAGGGCTGGGCGATATGGGCAAAAATGTTATCACAATAAAAAATGTGATATAATTTGATATCGATAATTATAGCGAAAAATGTCAAAAAGTTTAAAGGCAGATTTAAAACTTTTCTTTATGGGAAGAACATGACAAACATTTGAGGTCAATCACTTCGCATGTCTGAGGCAGAACATTCAAAACAATTAAGATAAAATCTTTTTCAACAAAAATGCATGAATAAAATTAAGTTAAATCTGTTTTCAGTCCCTTTTCCTCAACAAAATAAAAATCTCAGTTGAAAAAATTAAGTGCTAATTTCTTAGTGATTCACTTGAAGTAGATCAGACATTTATTGAACATTTGTTATGTTGTTATTGAAGAGAATTAAATTGTGATAATTATCATTATTACCTTGCATTGACCATTCATCCAGATTTACTGCCCTGGCCTGTCCCAGGTGTCCTGCATCAGTGGCTAATAACGAATCAGTCCCATCACCCCAAAGTGTGAAGTCAGCGCTGAGATTTGTTAGTTAGTTTGATACTGTGATACCCACAAGCCTCAGTCGCCATTGCTACGAAGAAGAAGCACTTTATTTTGAACTTTGTTTGTCTCTTTCTGGTTGTTTTGTACCAAAATGCACTTTGGGAGTTGTAGTCTTTATGTCCACAGGCTTATTTAGACCTTTTACTTTGTATTAAAGATCCAGAACTTTGTGTTATCATAGTTCTTTAGTATTCACAGATTGAACCTGTTGGTGTTGACTGTACAGTTGGACACTGGTGCATGTGGTGTTATTTCTCTCTGCATCTGGATGTCTTGTGTTGTGTTTATATATTAGTCAAACTGCACCTTATATGTCCATCTAGTCTTTGTCTGTACATTTGTTTACATTTAGATATGCACTGTGGACGCAAATGTCTGCACACTATTTGTTTTCAATGTGCAATAAACAAGATAAGTTGTGCGTATGATTGTAACGGACGACGGGGATGCAAACTATCACCAGAATCCATTGCAATCATAGAATGAACAGAACTGCAGGGTGTTTAGATCTCGCTTAGATCATGGCCACTTCAAATTAGCAAATTAAATGTATGAGCCATTTACTCGTGTTACTACTTTTAAACTTTCTTCATAAAATATAGTTCCTGCAGCTAAACAGTAACATATCCAGCCTACATTAAGAAGAGCAAATAGAGCTGCATTCTGCTCTCTCGCCAAATACTGTTGAGTTTTGGTCACATTTCCGGTCCTGTTTATTTTCCCCTGCAGCCACCGCATCTAAAGTTAATTCAAAACTCCTCTCCTCTTTCCTGGAAACATGAATTGTTTTTACCACATTCATGCGAATATTAAACACGTGAAATGCAATTTGTGTGATTCTGACCGAGCAGCTGTAGATGTCTTGATCCAAGCTGAAAGCCTAGAATTCTCAGTGGCCGTGGTTTAAGTGTTTATAGGGTGATTTTACAGTCCCCCTCTCCCTGAATGGAAACAGCTCACCTTTATGTTTCACTGTGGCTTCTTTGGCCCCAGATAGTGGATTTTCAAGAAAGATCATCTTAGAAGTCTTCCTCTGTTTCCAGATGTTTTCTAGAGGAAGAGAAAAAGAAGTGCTATAGACAGCACACTTTAGAAAATGGTGAAGAACTGAGGGCAGTTCTTGTTTTAATGAATCTTTTTGTGAAACACTAGTTTTAGGATTAAGCGCCTTGTGTCCTTCCTCTTGTCTTTCACCTCTCACTATTCCCTGTTTCATCTCTTATGCCACGTTTCGCATGACAGAAATGTATCAACTTCAGAACCAACAGCAGTCCCCACATTCAGTATGTTTTAGCTTTGATGCGAGTTTAAAGATTCCTCTCTGTCTCACTCTCCGTCTTTTTTGATTTGTCTGTCCTCTGCCTCTCCAGGTCGAGTACGAACCAGGAGGACGAGTTCAGGAAACAGTCCGTCTGTGACCGACAGCCGGGGAAGGAGCCGAGGGAAAGTCGTCTCACAGTCTCAACGTGAGTAGCTTCTGCTTCACATGTTTGCGGCACCAGACAAATTATAACTTTAACCCTGATAGTGTTAGCACCACACTAATCTCTCATTTAAAGTCAAATTCAGTGAGATGTTTGGGCGTAAGTGATGGGAAATATCGTTCCATTTTGTAGATCATTTGATTCTCATTAACAAGTTGACAAACTCAAGTCTCCAGATTTTAAATCATTCAGAAAAATCAGTTGCATGTAAGGTAAATATATACATGCTTTTTTATTTACTAAAACAAGCCAAAGTTTTCAAATATTATGACACAAGCAGCCAGAAAATAACATAACACACTAAATAAAGTATAAAATATAAAAATGTTTTAGTTAACAAGTAAACAAGAGGACACGTTTGACCATATTTGATGTCAGCTTTCTCTCCTACTTCTCTGAAATGTGTTATTTTTAATTAATATTTTACACTACTTTATTTACTGTTAGTCTAATTTTAGAAAACTTAGTAACTTAGTCAAATACTTTCTTCTGCGTTTCAGCCAGCAGTAGGTCCGGTTCTCCCGGCAGACTGCTGAGCTCCACCTACGGCCGGATACCGAGGCCGACCATGGGCACAGCTGCCGCCGCCGCCGCCGCCAACAGCGCCTCCAGCCTGACGGACAAGAGCCGGCCCCGAGGTCACCGCAGCCACGGCTGCAGTCGAGAGACCAGCCCCTCCAGATCAGGCACAGGTAAGGAGGGTGTTCAACCACAGAGCCAAATTAATTTCATAATAATAATAAAACATTCGAACCAATGTCAGTGTCATAAAATGATGATTCTTTGGAGCTTTGTTGAAGTTGAAGCAGGTAAGCGCTGAAGGAAGTTGAAATGTTACTGAAAGAAGTTGTGACGTCAGTTGAAGTGTAACTGCTAAAAGGTGTTGAAGTAAAGATACGGATGTTTTCCCATCTTGTTGTTTCGTTGTTACATTATAATTAGTGCCTGTGACAAAAACTGAAGCGACTGAAAGCCGATATTACTATTCAATATCTTAAACATAACATATTTGGAACGTTTTTGTCTAGGTCCTAAAACAGTATTCAGACTGTAATTGTACACTAAACTGTCAGGGTTATTGTTCCGTATACAGTATTCAGGAGCTGGGGTAGCTACTGGAACATCTTAAATTAAATTAACACAGAATCACTCTAGAAAATCCAGTTTGTTGTTGTAAAAAGTGTGTTTCCTGCAGCGGTCTGAGCAGAGTCTTTGCAGATTATAAAGATTTTATAAAAACTGGACAAAAATACCCCAACTGGAGTCAGGAGACTGAGGTCTGACAAAACAACGAGATTTTATAAAAGGAAGTTACATCTAGGCAGAAGCATTGTTGCGAGTAGCATCTGATGAAGAGCCGGTGAAATAAGAGTTGCTGGTTGATCATATACCTCAGAAGTGAGCTGAAAGATGGATTGTTGTTTGTTTTGAGGTCGACTTGCCCAGATCTGCTTTCACAGCCCACAAGACGGCAATAATCCTGGCTCCTGTTCCTTTTCCTCTCACTAATACTGTACCTGCAGCCTCCCTGAGTCCTGCTCTCTCTTCTCTCCTGCCTGACTAACCATCTCTGCAGAGCTTCAGGTGTGTCAGTGTCTGGCTGGAACTGCTACAAGCTAAACTCTCCCCCTGCGCTGCTGTCTGTCTCTCTGTCTGTCTGTCTGTCTCTCTGCCGCGCTCCCCTAGCCCGGAGCCGAATCCCCCGGCCCAGCATGAGTCAGGGCTGCAGCCGCGAAACCAGTCGCGAGAGCAGCCGCGACACCAGCCCCACCAGGGGTTTCTCCCCCCTGGGTGAGTATGGTACTGAAGACTCCCCCCAAAAACCCCTCTATTTGCACACCAGAGCTCACGCAGGGGAGTAAAAAACAACATCTGGAAACTTCAGAAAATTTAAAGCAACATTATGTCAGATTTTTTTTTTATGCAATTTGGTAAAGAAGGACAGCTGTACACGTGCATTTGTTATGATTACATTACTTGGGATAAAAAACTAGCAAGTCGCCAACTGTGCTAACAGCCAGACATCAAGCAAGTGTGACAGCACAACAGAAAGAAATCCAGCTCGGCGTCTGTCTTTTATATCATGCTTGGTCTCTCTCTTTTCTTCTTCTTAGCTTCCCCCTTAACGTCCTCTTCGGTCTCTTGCCTCTGTCGTTATGTTGTCTGCTCTTCCCCAGCAGCAGCATAATGTTGCTTGAAAGCTTGTGGCGAGCTAGGAGCACTTACGGTAACCTTACCGAGGTCTAAGTGTGTCACCATCACCTTGAGATATTTAGGTAGCGGCTTAACCTGCCTCTACCTCCGGCTGGTTCAGACAACTCTGCAAACACAGGAAAACATCATGCGAGTGCAACAACACAAGACACAGCAAGCAGCTATTAAGTTATTACTGTCGAGCACAGCAGAAAGAAGGCCAGCTCTGCGTCCGTTCAACTCTTTTAGCTCACGCTAATAGAGTAAAAATCAGTTGATATTTTCTCTTGTCCGGTCTCTTGCTTTTTTTCTCTTCCTGGCTTCCTCCAAAGTCTTCTTCAGTCTCTTCACCGTCTCTGCCATGAAATCCATACCAAGAATGCAGAGCTAGCGTCTTGCTGAAAAGTCTCGTTGGTGCCGTGAAACATAACACCTTTGTCATGATGAATGTCCTGCCCGGGATTTCAGGGTTACATAGAGCAGTAGCTGGTAAAGCGAGCCTGGACAGGAAATGACAGAGACGCCATTCACCTTATTACAAGTCAGTGTACCATCAAAATGATTTTGAAGCTGTTACTTTAAGACACAAATACTACATAATGTTGCTTTAAGGTTCTGTAAAGTTTGGGAAGTGCAAAGAATGACTAAAAAACACATAAGAAAGATGACTAGTGAAGAGTAGAGCTAGTTTCTGTTTTACAGCTTCAAACATCTTTAGGAGCCAAACCACCTTCACTTCTCTTCTGACCCTGCACATCTGTCTGCCCAGATCAGTGTTTTCCCTGCCTTATTCTTTGCATGCTCTGTATTTAGATTCTCGTGTGCTCGTTTGAACTAACTAGGCTTGGGTCGGTTTGCGGTTTAGCCGTGGTGGTCCTGTTTGCTAAATTAATGACGGGCTCTCATCATGTTTCACTCGGGAGTTAAGTGCGACACCTGGTGGTAAAAGTCAGTATAACCAGCCCAGTCCAGCGTTTGGCTCAAGTTAAAATCAAACCGGCCCAACCCTAGTACTAATCTTCTGACTAGGTTTGTGCAAAATGTAAAGAGCTTAAACTGTCTATCGTCATAATGGTAATAAGGCAGTCTTGGTGTTTTCTCCTGCTCTCCTCTAACTCCTCTACGTCCTCCTCCAGTGACTCGTCATCACTCCCGCTCGACCAGCGCCCTGTCCTCTGCAGAGTGCTACTCAGGTGACCAGTGAGATTTACTCAGTCCGCCAGAGAAATAACTAAGTTTTCTGTTTGCTTATCACAAACGGTCCTGCAGGCTTTCCCAGAGGATTTACCTCATCCTGTTTTGTGCTAACGGAGTTATCCTGCTTAGTAAAGCTGCTCACTGCATGGACGAAGTCGACCTCTCCTAAACATACACTGTTAGAAATCCTACATGTTGCTGTGATGGTTTTATGATTCCTACTTTTAGATTCAGTGCTTATGAATTGTGAAGATTCAGGTCTTTTTAAACATTTATTTTGCAGCTTCATGATCATTTTTGTGCTTTGCGATTGATTTGTGTTAATTGTGTATTCACTTGACCTCTTTTCTGTACTTTCATGGTATGTTTTGCATTTTGTATTTTTTTTATTGTATTTATTGTTCTGGCTGTTTAGATTTGTTGCATTCTCATTACCAAAAAATGGTTGCAGCTTTTTGTTCTGCTTGCTTTGGGTTGGGCTGATATAGAAATTATGTTGCTGCTAAACAAAACTGCGAAGTTGTCCAAATATAAAGGATTTTTAATAATGGATGCTATCAATTGGAAATCAATTTTATAAAGCTGTAAATGCTCAGTGAAAGTCTTTTGTGAACAAAGCCCAACCTAAATCATGAAGTTAGAAAATCCATTGACCTGGTTCTGCTCCAAGACAGTCCTGAAAATGATTTTCTCAATCTGACATTGTCTGTGTGAGACATTTAGAGACGTCAACATACGGGAGATACTTCTATCTGAAAGCGAAGAGTGAAATTGTGGTCCTCATTATTATTTTTTTCTCCATTTTAAGTACCTTTGACCAAACTGCACATTTACGTCCGCACAGAGGAATTTTATCTCCCGTTCAGCATCAACGCTCCTCTGATGTTTGTTCGACCTTTTCTTTTTCAGACCGGCTGTCCCATCAGGCTCGGATCTCTGCCTCCGTCAACGCCATGAAAATCCTCAACACCGGCACGGATGTCGAGGCTGCTGTTGCTGACGCTCTGGTAAGAACAGAAGTGGAAAACGTATGCAAATAAAGCTGCCTTTTTATACGGTTTTAAACATCTTTATATGTTTGTTAGTTTGTGATCACGTAGTCTAGCTGCTAACATTTTACAAGACGTACTTCTCACATCTTTTTAAAGACATTTCCATGTGAAAAACTTGGATTACATAGAAAGAGGATTTTATAAAACACCTCTTCAAAAACCTGAATGGCTCTCGAGCTTATTTCTGTTCTGTGCAGAATGTGTTTACAATGTGTGAAAATTTAAGGCGTAAAGTTGCAATAAAAGACACTCAAACACATAAAATATAGAAAAACACCAGACGTGTTCTTTAATATGAAATAATGATGTTGATGTTCAAGCTCGTATGTCCTGCAGTAATTTCTTCTGTCCTCTCTCTTCCTGGACTTTGTATCTTTCAGCTGTTAGGAGACTCGAGGAGTAAGGTACAAATGAATCTCATCTTGCACAGAGTTGACCCGTCCTCTGTCACTGCATGCCGAGCATGAGCATTAAACATTTTACATTTTACATTCAGAACATGGAAGAGTGAGCAGGTTGGGAGGCTTTGCTCAAGGAAACTCAGACAGGAGATGTTTCCAACTTTTGATTTTCCTTTTACAGGGTAGTCTGTCCAATCAGCAGCTGATAGAGTTTTTGAGGCCCAGACTGTGACTGTGCACAGATTATTTATCAGTCCAGCTGTTAGTTCATCGAGGCAGCATGTTGTCATCTGCAGTCAAAGGGGAAGAGTCCAGAGTTCAGTTCTTCCTACCAGCATGAAATAACCTCATCCATCTCACATCATCAGAAACCTGCATGACTCTGTAGCTGCATGGTCGTCTCTCATCACTAGACCTTCATTTTACTTCTATAAAACTCTGTCCTGCCTGTGAACCCCTGTGTCTTTCCTTCCACCCAGCGGAGGCCGGTGAGGCGGCGCTTCGAGTCTCCGGGAATATACTCGGATGATGACGCCAACAGTGACGCCTCCAGCGCCTGCTCCGACCGCTCGTACAGCTCTCGTAATGGCGGCATGGCGCCGCACTACCTGCGTCAGACGGAGGATGTAGCCGAGGTGCTGAACCACTGCGCCAGCGCCAACTGGTCTGAGAGAAAGGAGGGACTGTTGGGACTGCAGAACCTGCTCAAGAGCCAGAGGATGCTCAGGTGGGACGGGCAGCGTGTAGAAGATTTCTAGCCAGGGACCAAACTGAAAAACTTAAAAACAGACTAGATATTTCAATTTTAATTTAGACTGTATTCGCTCAGCAGTTCTTTGACTCTCAGGGCAAGAAAAGCAGAAATCCTGCATCCAAGTTACCTTTATTTGATTCTTTGATTTTTGATACGTTAAATGTGTCTTTATCATTATCTGTGAAGTTAAAAGTAGTTAAAAGGTAACTGGTGCTTTGAGTTTACTATTTCAGAACAAGTTAGAAATGATAAAGATGTACGGTAAATACACTTCTTCACTGTGGAGTTTTTAAACATACATATGCTGTTTTATTTCACATGGTTGTCTGCAAATGCTCTTAAAACGTCTCCTTTTAGTTTGGGAATTTAAGTTTGAGTGTGTCCTAAACTTTTAAGACATTTTTTAAAGGGGGCAGATGAAAGTACTGTGTATAAATACTTTGTCTTATACCTTATACAACTTGTGTTTCAGCTTGATTTGTATATAAATAGTTTGGACTTCACATAGCAAGCGGCTGCTTTAACCCTTTGTGTCATGGAAACGGTGTATTTCTCAACTGGTATCTAGTGAGACAGCAGATTTTATTTTATGTGTGTCAAAAAGATCTTAAGCAAGCGGCCAAACAAAAAAAGATTTAATAAAACTCCGATTTAGCCACATTAAAAGTCACTGGTCGCATGCTTTAGACTTCTCACCGAGTACAGAGCAGCTTTGAATTCTGCGTAAATGACATTAAATAAAAGATTTGCTGCTTGTTTTCCCCGTCAGTCGTGTGGAGCTGAAGAGGCTTTGTGAGATCTTCACCAGGATGTTTGCAGACCCTCACAGCAAGGTGAGAGCCAGCTGAGCTTCTGTAACACACAGCACGACCAGCAGCCAGATGTTGATAAACGTCATGGTAAAGAACGATCCAGTCACGCTGCCCTAAAGTCTGTTGAGGCTGCCCTCAACATTAAATAATTCTTCCACCTGAAGCGGCAGCCGTTTCTTTTAAAATATAATTTCTTTGGAGAGTAAAATGAATAATCCCATAATCTGCACTAAAACTCCTTCCCTGGTTGAATAAATGTTGGGATTAACTGCAGCTGGTGGTCAAAGTTAAGGTCCTGCGTGGAGTTTGACTGAATTCACTGCTCACATGTCAGAACTAACTGCAGGACAAACTAACTGTGTTTTTTTGTTGCATGCCTCCTCGCTGCTGTGGACTCTAACAAACACCAGAGAGTAAGTGTTTACTGATCAAACCAGCTCACTTTGTAACAACTGTCTGAATTTAACAGCTCTCTGTGTTTACACATCTGAAACACAAACACAGTGAAGAATATGACTTCGTTCCTCTCTGTCCGTAATCCTGTTCCACCCGCCTGACGTCTTTCCTCTCTCCTCCTCCTCTTCATCCCTCGCTCCCTCTCTCAGGTGTTCAGCATGTTCCTGGAGACTCTGGTGGACTTCATCGTACTGCACAGGGAGGACCTGCAGGACTGGCTCTTTGTTCTGCTCACTCAGCTGCTGAAGAAGATGGGGGCCGACCTGCTGGGCTCGGTCCAGGCCAAAGTCCAGAAGGCCCTGGACGTCACCAGGTCGGCAACTAGGCTCTGTTTTTAATATATTTTAAGGCCTTTCAAAGAGTCTTACATATAACAAGTAATGCCTTAAGACCTAAGAATGACAAATAAAAAATACTAAAGTAAGACTCAAAGCAAAATTAAACTATAGCTTTTTGTCTCTGGTCTAATAAGGTGCATTCCCTTTTAATTTGCAGAGAGTCCTTCCCTTATGAGCAGCAGTTCAACATCCTGATGCGTTTCATCGTGGATCAGACGCAGACGCCCAACCTGAAGGTGAAGGTGGCCATCTTGCGCTACATCGAGGCGCTCGCCCGCCAGATGGACCCGACTGACTTTGTGAACTCCAGCGAGACACGCCTTGCAGTCTCACGCATCATCACCTGGACCACCGAGCCTAAGAGCTCCGACGTCCGCAAGGTAGGAGGGCGGGACGTGTCAGCGCCACCTTCATCTTAGGTTCACGGCACACTTGTCTTTTTGTGTTCCTTTATTTGTAAGTCTACTTGTTCTTTGTTTCGTTTTTTTGTTTTCACGACTTGATTTTCTCCCCGATCGCCATTTTCTCGTCCACCACATCCCCAGACCCTTCATAACTGGGCAGGGGAGGATTTCTCAGGCCGACCCAGCACCGTGGCCTCTCTGCCTGGGGAGGGCAACCTGGAGGAGAGGTGCAAGCAGGTAGAATCTCCATCAAACGGCATGACCAGAGTTTATGACCTCCTCTAACCCGGCCTGAGCCGTCAAACACCCAGGGAGCAGCTGTGCAGACCTGGATGTCCGTTCTGTCATGTTCGCTGACAGCGTGCGAAGGCTTTTCAGCACTAACCGCTCTTAAATCAAGTTTCAAAGTCATGGCTCTGTTTCTTCTACAAGAAATTTACACAGCCGGTGAAATCAGTGGACGGTAGATGCCGAACTTTTAAAACTATGTACAGTGTGTGCATGAGTTTGGTCTGTGCAGTTTTAACTCTGAGACTAATGATGTTTCTTTTCCAGCAAAATCTGCATGAATTTTTGCAGTTTGCTTTTAACTTTTTTTCTGTAAAGCTCGAATACATTTATTTGATCTTGAAGCAGGCTTGAGAGTGGAAACCGCTCGTTCCAGCTTTTGCTTAACCTTTTTTTGAATGGACGTGCTGCATGTTCACTGCAACAATGTGCTTCTTAACATGTTGTTTACTCATTTTTACCTTTTCTTCGTCTTGTTTCATTGATTCTCTAAAATTTAAGAGTGAAAAGTGCAATCATTTGCTTAGGATTCATTTCTCTATAGATGGTTTGGGTGTTTTTAAAGGTGCTGGGAAGTGAAGTGAAGTTTTGTCTGGAGAAACAGTTGCATTTAAAAAGTGTATTGTGCGTAGACATGTGTTTGATTTCTGCTGAACAAAAAAAAAATCATATTAAAATGTCACATGACAGTAGATCGTATGCAGTGAGCCGCATGTATTTTACACCTCTCAGTCCCCAGGCATTTAGAAATAGTTATTGAAGTCTGTGTAAATTATTACATTTGATTTTAAAATGTTTGATAAGCTGTTGGTGATGAAAGTAACTGTTTTCCAGCAGAATATCCTTGTATACAGCTTTTAGTTTACACTTGTCGTATATGAGTTCATGGCAGCCAACAGCAGGTAGTTTAGTGATCTGTGAGGTGACATTTTGTGTGTGTGTGTGTGTGTGCAGGCGGCCCAGGTGGTGCTCATCGCCCTGTTTGAGCTGAACACACCAGAGTTCACCATGCTGCTGGGCGCTTTACCCAAAACCTTCCAGGATGGGACCACAAAGCTGCTGCACAACCACCTGAGGAACGCCAGCGGCATGAGCATGGTAACACACACACACACACACGGACAAAAAAATAAGTATTTCCCCGTTCTAGCAATTCAAAAGTCTGCCTCTGTTGTGCTGGATGTACTCGACGCACAGAACAGCGTTACGGTGAACATTTAAAAAGTGCAGGTTTTCTTTCCGTTAAATCTGTTTGATTTAAAGTGACATTTGTTCAGTTGTGTGTTTTGTCGATTTGCAGGCGTCTCCCAGTAACACGGCTGCCCGAACGCCTCCACGGCAGCACAGCAGCCGCAGCAGCCCGCTGACTTCACCCACCAGCTGCTCTCACGGGGGGCTTTCTCCCAGGTACGCCAGCGCTCCTGCTCCAAGACTGCATCTCCTTACCATAAATGGTTTTCTGCTAATAATCTTGTGGTGCTAACAGTTAGCTTATTCCAGCTACACCAAAGGTTTACCAGCATGAACTGGTGCACTGGAGCCAGTTCTCCACCCGCCCGCACTAACACTGACAGACAACAGTGCTTCTTTCTTTTCCACTTTTCTCACATCTCTGTCTTCTCTCTGGGCTGCTCTCCTCCTCTTCCTCCCCTCCCTCCCGTCCTCTTTCTCCCTCCCCGGCTGGTTGCAGTCGGCTGTGGGGTTGGAGCGCAGACGGGCTCTCCAAGTTCCCTCCTCCGTCCATCCCCTCTCCTCTTCCTCCACCCACTACCCACTCCTCCCTCAGCACAGGGCGGCGAGCTTACTCACCCAGGTAACCCCACCCCTCTTTTCCTCCTCCAACTCCTCCTCCTCTTCCTCGCTGTCATGGGGTTTCACAGTAGCGCTGGGTGATACGACAATAAAATATTTTTTAAATAGACAGATTCTCTGTCCACTGTTAACTCTTTCGACTGAATGATAAGAAGAAGGAACATATTCTGGAGTTAAGTTCCCTCAAATAGAAAAATAGAAATGTTTAAAGTTAAGCTCTTTCATCTGGATTCTGTAAAACCCCTGAAACTCACTAACTGCCTCAGCTGCAGCAATTTGTGCCTCCATCTGCTCAAATTGTCCTTCACTGTCCATTCGTTTGGTTTCTGTTGCTACTTTGCTTTGTCGTCTCTGAACTGAAAGCTCTCAGGTGAGAAATGTGTAACCAGTGTCTCTGTGCTTGACTCACCTGTTTGTGTCCACCTGTGTCAGTTTGTGACTGTTCTGTACTGTAAGACATCATGGTGCACAGAAAAAGTGGACTGCAGCCTTAAATCTCTACAGTGTAGTCTGTTTCCTAGTCATGGACAAAATGTGTTGTGGTACCAAACAAAAGTTGTGTTTCAGACCTTTAAATTACTTTTGCACCGATTGCATTCTTAAAAGTTTGGAAAGGTTTTAAAAAATGTCCAAGTATGAATATAAAGTTGCAGATTTTCCTTCCTTTTTTTGATATTTGGGGACCAGAAAAATCTAAAACGAGACCAAGAAATGAAATAAAACAGTCAGTCAGGATTCTTTTTGGTCCATGTCTAGGAAAGTGTCCTCCATCATCAATCACAAGCTTTAAACAAAAGCAGTCACGACCATCAAGTGACTGAACCTCTTCTCTGAAGTAGTCATGTAAAATGTAAGGTTCTTTATGTCAGGCTTGTGAGGTTAGGTTCCCTGGGAGAACTTCCTGTGATTATTGTCTGTTTCTCCCTCGCCGCAGCATGCTGGAGTACAACAGTGAAAACCTGAACTCAGAGGAGATCTACAGCTCTCTGCGCGGCGTCACGGAGGCCATCCAGAACTTCAGCTTCCGCAGCCAAGACGACCTGATGGAGCCGCTGAGACGAGACGGCAAGGTGAGGAGAACGACGACGAGGAAGCAGTTAAACAATCTGAATCAATGTTTCCCAGAGCCCGACGAGACGCCTCCAAATGTTTTGTCTTGTCCAGCCAGCATCCCAGAACTCAAAAGATTTTCAATTTACTGTCACTGCAGAATCCAGCAAATTTTCACATTTGAGAATTAAACTAGTTAATTAAACACAAATGTAACTAAACTTCCATCAGTGATTCTGGCTGCAGCCTGCAGCAGATGTACTTAGACGTAAGCGAACTCGGTGACGATGATGTTTTGATGTGGTTCTCCAGTCTGCAGTCGGGGCGTCGTCAGACGGTGACGTGGTCGGGGGAGGACGCACAGCCCTGGACAATAAGACGTCTCTGCTGAACACGCCTTCACCGCGTTCCTTCGCCGGCCCGCGCTTCAGAGACTACAACCCGTACAACTACACCGACAGCATCAGCACACTGGACAAAGCTGCCCTGAAGGAGGCGCTGTATGAGGACCCTGTGGAGCGAGACGGTGAGACTGCAGTCACTTATCTATGTCCTCTTTGGTCAGTTTTGTTGTTTATCACGTCTTTAAACTGAAATGTTTTCTTTGCAGGCGGCCGTCAAGAATGTGGCGAAAACAAGATCATGAACCCCAAAAACTTCCCAGGTAAAGACATGTTGAGTCCTTTCCTACAACGTGCTGTTTCCCTTTTACAGAAAACAAACATTCGCTGAGGATCAAATATCACATGGCTGAGAGTCAGAGGGATTGTGAAACATTTGTTGTTTCTTGTCCCATAGACTAACCAAAAGAAACTTTCAAAAAGATAATAAAAAGAATCCATCCTGCACACCGTGACAGTCAGGACGATACACAGAAACCAGATCAATCAAAAGATAAACAAGAACTAATTTATGAAGCTTCTCTTGAGAAACGTTGAAAATACCAAAATGTCTGCACAGAAAAATTTATGACTTTTTTTCTACGTCTGTTTATCTTTCAGTTGATGTAAATCAGAGCTTTAGACTTTTCCCACCGTCTGTGTGAAACATAGTGCAGCACTTAGAGCTGTTAATATCTGCCGTATGACTGAAGAAAAGCACTTAGAACGTGTTTAGTGGCATCGCTCTGAAACATTTTTTAAATTAGTAAATTAATTTATGCTGTTGATCTGTGCAGCATGCCCCGCCGAGCAGCTGGAGCTGGTTGGGGAGCTGCTGAAGAACATCTCCCAGGGCCAGGCGGGGGAGCGGGGCCCCGAGGAGCGACGGGCGACCCTGCTGGAGCTGCTGAAAGTGGCCCGAGAGGACTGCCTGGTGGTGTGGGAGGAACACTTCAAGACCATGCTGCTGCTGCTGCTCGAGACGCTGGGAGACAAAGACGTAAGGACAGCCTTACCCAAGCCTGCTCCAGTGTCCAACATCTGACATCATATTAATAGAAAGTCATTTTGCACCGACTCCTCTCTCTCTCAGCACACGATCCGGGCGCTGGCCCTGCGAGTCCTGAAGGAGATCCTGAGGAACCAGCCGGCCCGCTTCAAGAACTACGCCGAGCTCACCATCATGAAGACGCTGGAGGCTCACAGAGACACGCACAAGGAGGTGAGGATCATTTGCATTATTTTCATGCTTGGATGTCATTTTAGAGTCCACTCGATGCAGAAGTAGCCTCCTCTTTTAAATTACATCACGCTCTCCCCTCTGGTTGCTGCAGGTGGTGCGTGCGGCGGAGGAGGCGGCTTCCACAATGGCAGGCTCCATCCACCCGGAGCAGTGCATCAAGGTCCTCTGTCCCATCGTGCAGACGGCCGACTATCCCATCAACCTGGCTGCCATCAAGATGCAGACGAGGGCCATCGAACGCATCACCAAGGAGCCGCTCCATCAGCTGCTGTCTGACATCATACCCGGACTCCTGCAGGTACGCTGCGAACACAGACCCTGGTGCTGCGGCCGAGCCGTGAACACTCATCTCCAGTAGATGCAGTGCATGTGGTTTTGCAGACCTGTAGCTGCAGACTTATTCATTCAGGAGTCATGAAAGTCCTCCAGTGTTGCTGCACTTGTGTCTCACCGTCTGCTGTTGCAGGGCTACGACAACACAGAGAGCAGTGTGAGGAAGGCCAGCGTCTTCTGCCTGGTGGCCATCTACTCTGTGATCGGAGAGGAGCTGAAGCCTTACCTGGCTCAGCTGACCGGCAGCAAGGTACACCAGTTCCTGTCTCTCAGCTCTCAGAGAGCATCCTGAACCAGGGTCTCATTTAAAAAATAATGTTTTGTCAGCGGCAGAATTTAGCAGCAAAGTGACAACATCCAGTTAGAAAGAAGAAAACCTGCTCAAATCATTCTTCTGAGATTTTTTCCCAGCACCTCTGAGTTTGTTTCTTGGAGAATGTGACATTTCTGGTCAACAGTGTGACCTTTGCTTCGACCAGTTATGACATTTAAGGATTGACGGCAGGTCAGATAACCCCGCCTGCACTGAGAATCCATTTCACAACATCAGTAGTAAGTTCTGTTTTATTTTATTCAGAAAGTGTCACTGAGATCAAGATGAAGAAACAGTGTTCAAAGTGTGAGGAAGGCCTTTTCCCAAGCTTTGTCTAACGGGAGTCCGACAGTCTCAGACTTTAAAAACCCCTGGTCTAACTTAAACAATAAGAAATATTACAGTCAGCCCCGTTTGGATGGTTCCCACAGAAAAGCTCAGGCTAACTGTTCAAATAAACTGTGCGAGCATCTACGGTATGAAATTAGTAGCCTTCTCTTGGTAGTGTTGAGCGAGACATACACAATTAAGAAATCTTAAAACGTGTTTTGTGCAAACATTCATTACAACAAAACTCCAGAAGTCTAATCACTAAGTTAGGTTTGGAAACAGAGCTTTGGATGGAGCAGGGAGTTTGAGACTCACTCAAATAAAAACCCACCGTGAGTGTTTCAGGGAGAGAGAGTCTCGTAGCCTCAGAGGTGGAGTCCTCTAACACCCCTGCTGTTTCCCTCCTACAGATGAAGCTGCTCAACCTGTACATCAAGAGGGCTCAGACTTCCACCAGCAACAGCAGCAGCTCCTCCGACATCTCCTCCTACTAACTCCCACAGCACACGCTTAGCTTTCATCGTCTCCGCAACACAGAGAGCATTTCATTCCATCAGCCGATGACAGATCGGAAGTCAAAACGTCATCGCGAACAGCGTCGTGAAATCCTCATCGTCTGAACCGACTTCCTGTTTTCAATATTATTCCCATTTCATTCCTTCAGCTGCTGATAAAGCTGGAGGCGTCTTGAGGAGCTCATGCTGTCGTGGCTCCACAAGTTTCTGGACCATCTCCTTATCATGTTGAAAGCTTAGCTAATTATTGGGAGGTAAGGTGATCCTGGCAGCTAAGCCGTTTCATGAAGAACCCGACACTCTTAATTGAACCAACATCTTCCTCCTCCTCTCTCACACTACCGCTAGAGTCAAGAGCCTCAAAACTTTTATCTTCCATCGACGCGTGATGGACCTAAGGTGATCGTAGGAACCATTTTTAGAGGCGGACTGCCTGAAACAAAGACCTCTTCTTCCTACTCGCGCCTCGTTTCACCTTCAAGCCCATCTTACTTCGTGGACCGGCCCTGAGGGGCTCTTTGCAGCTGATGTAAGGATGATCCTAGCATTGAGACCGTCTTCTTACACTTACAAAAGACCTGAGGTGAGTTTGAAATCACGGAAAGAGAAGAGAGTTTTCGTGGTGTAACTTCCTTCCTCTCAGTGCAGGAGGAAACCTGTGGCTATCAGTATTTTTATTCATTTTTAGTATCTTTAATCCACTTCTTTGAACAATGTTTTGCTTTGACACATCAAACCTTATTGTACATTGAATGTAAAGAGCTTTGACAGGACGTGACTCTCACCTGTGTTTCTCCTTCCTGAACTACTGCCTCATTGTACCCGGTGGATCAATCTTAAAGGTGTTTGGAATATTTTCCAATTTGAGCACGTGCATTTGGTGAATTATGTGCTGTATTGAGAAAGAAAGTGGCACTTTAGTCTTTAAAAGGCTGAATTCAAGGGTCCATCTGAAGATTAATATGTCAAAAATAAGGAGTTTGATTTTGAAACTACACCTTAATGAGTACAACAACAGAAGTTTCTTTGCTGCTGTTTTACTCATTAATATATTAGTAAAACATGTTAGCTTTAAAAAAATGTGAAATCCAAGTTCATCTTAGTTTACATTGAATGATCATTTGGCTGGCCAATGATTTCAAGCACTACAGCGATTAAAGAAAGTTTTATTATTTTGGACCCAACTACCAGCAGAAGATATCAGCGTTGTTATTTAAGATCATTTTCCAGGCGTGAAGAAAAGAAGGACTTTTAATGTGTCAACACTCGTCAGTGGAATTCCCTTTTAAAATCTGTAATAGATAATAAACTAACATTTTATTTCATAAATATAAAACCTCCTTTACATGGATTGAAAAAATTGAAACTAGATGTTTTTGCACAGGGTTCGTCTAAAACACAAGCTATTAAAATTATGCCTCCGACCTCATATATGTTGCCTGAAGAGCTGAATGATGAATCGGTTTTATATTGAAATTGTGATTTGAAAGAGTACAATTAAAAAAGTAATTACAACTTGCATAATTAACAGTGTCTTAATGAGCGTTAGGAGGTGGAAGTTTCAGTCAGTGACGGCAGCTTTACTGAGCTGCAGCTAATTAACAACAGAAAATGTACTTTTTAGTTTGATATTGTCATTAAACAGAAATCTGTCCAGTAATTACCACAGCAGGCCATATGTAATTGTTATCAATAGCTGACACCACTTTTGAATGTCATGATTGTATTGTAATATTATTATTAGTAGTAATATTATCAAGTAATGTTACGTTCACCGCTGATGTAATTTATTTACTTAAACTGGCCTAGAAAATGAACAGAGTTGACTTTTCTCAGATTTGATGACCTCTTATAACAATCCTCTGATGTTAAAGTCATGTGGGCTACAAATACACGTCTGGAGTTTAACTTACAGAAAATTATTACAATTTAAATCGCAATATTCGTCAGAAAATTAGCTATTGTCCTCGCATTGTTCACCACTACGTTTGCGTTCTCTTTCATCCACGTAGATTTAATGCTGCCCAAAAGAAGCTGGCTTTTATCCGTGTTGGTGTTGTCGAACAATGGGACCAAACACATTCACACAATCTCCTCGTCAAAAAGTAAAACTACAAAAATGCTTTTTAAAGACGTTTTTATGTAAAGTTGTCCGCCAGGCTTTTGTAGTTGTTAGAAAAGTTGTATTTATTTTTACTACATTTACAAGTATATCAATTGGCTGTGGGACACAAACCTTGTCTTGAGGAAGGCATGAAGATCTGTTTTTTAATTCAACAGTCTAAAGCTAGAACATTTTAAAGTTTAAATCTTTTCTTTACATTTATTTGATTAACATTACATTTAAAAAAAGTATTCACTTCACATTCTATGTTATAGCTTTTTTAATGAAAATTTAACTGATAAACGTTACATGGACCTAATTTGTCATCTATATATATATATTTAATTTCCTACGTGGATTTTTAATTAATTTGAAAGACTGAAAGTACAAAATTCCCTCAGAAATAACACTATACTGATTTTAGAAAATAAAAATAAAACCACTGAAAGACAGCAGAGGTATTTTTCTCTGCTGTCCCAGAAGGGTGCGAATCTAAAGACCCAGTTCTGTTTAAACTGGGAGTTTATTGGTTTTTACGTCTGCTGTCTTACAGTCTTGGAAATCCACAAGCTGTCAAGTCAAGACTACTGTAATATATAATATATATTATATTACACTGAAAAAGTCATCTAAAAGTCAAGATTCAGCTCTAAATGTCACAAAAATAGTATCAGTATTTTAATTTATGACAGTTTTGTCTGCAGGGAACTAATAATCAGTGGTTTATTGTGTTTTGCTGACAAACTGTTTACAATGTATTCTTGTTTTAAAGAGATGGTTTAACAGTTCGACTGTTTTTGGGAAGAAACGCCTCTGTATCAGTTGATCCTAAATTGAATGTAAGTCACTTTGAGACTTTGACCTTTTAAAATGTGAAATATTTTAGCAAATGACAAATGGGCAATACCTGAATCTGACAGAAGGATTGACAATCTGAAGGATTAGATGCTACTAAAAGCAAGCGACAATGCTAATTGATGAGTTGTAAAAAGCGCCAGCGTTAAAAATGAAAAGATGAACGTGTTTGATCTGTGGACATTAGCAATAAACTCTTAGAAATCCAGCTTGGATTTTCACGTCGAAGCACTGTAAATTTCCATTGTGTTCCTCCTTTGAGACGCTCTCGCTGGTCAATGTACAGAAGTGTCATTTTTTTTTAAAAGTGCACCTATAATAAAATGTTACTGCTGCTTATTCTAATACTAACAAACGCGCCTAATAACTCCAGCGTATGTACTGTATCTCGACAGAAGGGTTTAGGTACAGCTAAAATGATGGAGAGCAAAACTTAACTGACTGAACACTGAAACTGTTAAACCCTCTGAGTGGTTGAACTCTCCCGGTGCTTCATTCTCAATGCCAACTCGTCACATATGGACGTTTGGTCAAGACCCCTTGGCATCGCTTTGTAACGCCCCGGGTACCCGTTGTTTTTGGACGTGCAGTGCTCCGCGATCAAGTTAGCACCAATAAATATGTGTTATGTTAGCACCAAAAGTACTTGGTTAGCTTTAGGAAAAGTTTTTAACCATTAACTTCACTAAAAACAATGTTGACTTTTTGTTTCACACGGGGAAACAAACACCGGCCTCCTGGGGAAAAGTCTTCTTGCCCACTTTTGGCCCACCCATCCACCCAAACCACCTCCCCACTCAGACATTTCTGTTATTTATATTCTATCCCTGCTTTTAGCGTTCATAACTGACGCTACAGGGTTTCCCCCAGAGCGTTACTACAACCTTATGCCAAGGGGTCTTGACCGTGCGTCTATTTGTGACGACTTCGGAGTGAGAGAACGGGTTGCAAGGGAAGTTCAAACAAAGGCAACAGAGCAGGTTTAACTCATGAAAGAAATAGTTTGTTGTGTTGGGAAATCACTGCTTTCTTGCTGAGAGTTAGATGAGAAGGTTGAGACCATCATCATGACCTGTACACTTAATATGAAGCCAGTTAGCTTAGTTTAGCTTAGCTTAGCTTAGCTTAGCGTAAAGACTGGAAACGGGGGGAAACAGCTAGCCTGTTTCTGTCCAGAAATCCCTGCGCCCGGCCACGAAATATTCCAGCACACAAAGCTAAAACTTTCTAAGGGCCTAAGAGCCTCAGGGGCCTCAAAAGCCCCCGGTTCACTCCATATCAGCTGGTTCTACATAATTGGATTATCCACAAAGTAGTTAGAAATTTGTACCCTTAAAGTACACAATACCTCAATTACTTTCATGTGTATTATATTAAATTGTTGTAAAACTGTGTTTTATCAAATTACTTCCTTAGGGAAGGCGGTATTACTCCATCATGAGCGTACTGTAAGGTTGCAGCCAACAATTATTTTCATTATCCACAGGTCTTACAGTTATTTTATTTAATAATCGAGTAATTATTTAGTGTATAAAATGTTAGTAATTAGTGGGAAAATGATCATCATTATTCTCTGAAACCCAAATTAACAGATGTCTGATATTCACATTTCAGAAGCCGGTGCTGGGGTTTTAAACAATTAATTAGTCAGTTATCAAAATTGGTGCATAATAATTTTCTGTCCAACAGCTAGCTGATTAATGAACTTATCATTTCAGCTTTGGGGGACGTGCTTTGTTTTTGGGTGCCTGGGAAAATAATGAGACTGCCATGTATAGTGGGGATCAATAGGGCCACCAACAACAAGTATTACTTAATTAATCACCTCTGTTTTTGTACAGCTAAAAACCCATTTCCCGTTCTTTACCGTCGTTAGCTAATCTAAGTGGCTTTATATTCACAGTACAGGCATGAGGTCGGTGTCGGTCTGAACACGTGACTCTCAGCAAGAAAGCGAATAAGCACATTTCCCCATATTTTGACAGTGAAGGATGCTGTTACTGAAGATTTCCAGGCCTTATTTTATCTCTTCAAACTCGTTACTCGGACTGTTAAATGTACTGTACCAGTGCCCGTTGTCACTTTTCTCGCTTGTGAGATTTTGGCAACTTGATCAGCATTTAACTCTGGATTGAATGTTACCTTTAGAACCAATGAAGTCCTTTACAGCACGTCGTCCAGTGATCCAGTGTTAGCCTGCTGCAGTTTAGGCGACTTAAATTCATTTCCCTTTACTCTTTTTTTTTTGTTTTGTACAGTGTGATTTAAAACTGCAACTATGTCCGCATGCTTACTTCACGGGAATCGTCGGATATTTCCGGCTGCGTTTGCTGTCAAATATAGTTAGTTTGATAAAAGCAAACAAGCAAACATTGAAGATACTTTTTGATTTCCTGAATGTGTGCCTTTGGGTAAAGATTTCTGGCAATATACCTGGTTGTCCTGTACAATACTAACCTGTACTAACACTAATATTCACTGCTTCCTAAGGTGGACGTCATAAGGTAATGTGAGAAGAGACGCAGTGCTGTAAATAAGCTTCAAGCCAATGGTGAAATATTTTCCATTGAAACCACTTACAGTGCATGGCTCCTGTCTTTTGTTTTAGTTGATTTGTTTTATTTCATGCTACACAATATTTATGGTTTATCTTCCTGTGTATGACTGTATATATTTACATGTTTGGTTCTCTTTCACCTGTGATAGACTTTGCAGAACTTGAAATAAACTATCAGACTTCTAAACTCTTGTCTTTGTCATTTCTTTATCACAGTTTTATACATTTTTTTACGGTCTTCTGTCTCTTTTCATGTCCTTGTCCTCAGTAAGGTTTAGAAAGCAGGACGTGTAATGGAGTATTTTGACATTATTGTAGTTTGATCTTTAAACTTCATTTCCCATGTGCACTTGCATGAAAAAGCACAGGTGTGCTCTATTTGATGGAAGCCGGGACTCCCTTTTACTTTTGTTTGCCTTCATGTTTAGTGACTAAATCCTTAAATATAGAATCTTTGAATTTTAATAAACTTTTTCAAGTCCTTAGATTTTTTTTTATCTCAAATGCACAGTCTTGAATTTAGCTGTAGTTATTCCATATGTTTGAACATGTGTTAATGGGTTTTGTACTGAGCAACAGTGTGAGTGAAATGCTCTGTTTGACGGCCACTGTTGGCATCAGATTTTCAAAATAAGTTTAGAAACTACAATCATTGTGTAGGATTATTAAAGGGGTAGAAATCACCACCAGATGGCACTCTGCACACTCTAATAGCCATGGATTTTCTTTCTCTACACCTATACAGGTTTATTTTGACTGAGCATAATTACTGATGTTTGGTGAATCGTTGACTCTTCAGCAAATGTTGAATATTGACGTGAATCATCTGCTTTTGTTGCTCTGGTCTTTATTTTAACTTGTTTTTTTTTGGTAAAAGCTGTTAATTTGCTTAAGGTGACTTCAGTGGACGCACGAGGCTTCTGCAGAGATCAAACCTGTGATTCTTTTATTCTGTTACAGGCCATCCTGGATTCCTTTTGTGAGTTTCACCCCTTAAACCAGGAGTGAGTCAGATCCACAGGGAGCAGCAGGCAGACAGGGACAGCTCAGCTCAGGGTTTCAGACTTTTCCCCTCGTGTCGTTGACTCAGAACATCGTCTGCTGGCAGGTACAGATTATCCTAAAAGCTGAACTTTGACCTCCGAGCAGAGGAAATGAGGAAATGTGCTTACTTACATTCCATCACTGCTACTGTAAGGCAATTTAATCTTGTTTCAAATTTGCCTTTTTTATTTTGTAACAAAACAAATATCTGAATAGCCTACTGAGTATATATTGTAAGATTTCAATTAGAGGCCCGTCTCTTTTACTGGCCTGGTGTGGCTACATGTTTTGACGAGTAAATGCAGGTCTCAGTTAGAAGCTTGGTTTGTTTTTTTATAGAAGTTCTTTGGTGTATAAAACCTCCTAAAGCCCACCGGGTCGCCTGGTTGAGCTACTTCTAAGCTGAATACAAATATAAATGTTAAAACCTTTGTCAAGATGGACGTGCTACACATCATAAGATCAGTAAGACTCTCCACAATTAACACACACTGTTCATTTTTTCGAAAAACTATTCAGATTCTCCAGTACGTTAAACAAGAGACACGAAAAGGGCTAATTATTATACAAGTAAGATTCATACTGGTTGAAATAAATAAATTGATAGAAGCCATAGAAGAGAGTGCAGGCAGGGTGAGTTCAGTGATTGAAGGAAATAAAAAATAAAAGAGTATTAATTGAAGTTTTATGGGAAATGATATGATGAGATCAGAAGTAATAAACAGTCCCTGTCACCCTGACCTCAATCATAAAACAGTAACTACAGAAATTAAAGCCACGTCCAGATTTTGGCAGGTCCTCGCTCACTCTTGTGTCTGTGACTCATGATGAACAGAACCTCTGTTCAGGTGCTGTGCTGAGACACAGAGGTAGATGTTAAACTTGTGATCCGGCCATATTGGTGATTACAGATGAACGATCTGCAGGGCCACACCAACACTATCTAAATCTTTAAACACATCCGTTGGATCGCTGGCTCCTAATGGGGCGTTTCATTCGTTGATCAAAGCGGGCCGTGAGGACGGTGCTGCGGTGTTGGATGAGTCCTCCCCGCCGTCAGACCTTGAAATGGCTTCGTTAGCATTTCTCAGCGGTGGCCGCGGGTTGTCGCAGAGTCCTGCCTGTTTCATCAGTATGCACATGCTGTTGAAAATTAATTTCATTAAAGACCCCCCCCCCCCTCCTTTAAACCAGCTCCTCCTGTTTAAAGGCCCTCATAGTGTATGATTAGCGCGCATTTCCCCAACCTGGCTGGGAGTGGCGGCTAGGTCGGGAGGTCGCGCAAATGAAAGAGAACAACTTCATTGTGAAATGACTGGCCCATAAATCATCGGCCGTTTTCTATAAATCACGGCAGATGGCAGGGAGCGGGCCGAGGCTCATGGGAGCTCGTTGCAGCCCCTGTGCGTGATGGGAAGGGCCGGGCTTAGCTGCGGCGGAGGCTGGCAGAAGCGCAGGGTCAGTTCCAGTTTGCGGATGCGGAATACGTGAGGTGTGGTGGAGGCGGGCCAGAGGCCCGGCCGACTCCCCCCCTCCCCCCGTCCCTGCAGCTCGGCCCGGGCTCACCTGATGAGATTCAGACCCCGGAGGTCCACGTACAGCACCTCTCCACGCTGCCCTCCATTTAACAGGTCTAATCTGCCTGCTTAATATGGAGACAACTTCATCCCCCCCTCGTCCCCGAGCTGCGCTGAGACCTGTCAGGTTGACACTAAATGTCCGCCCAGGAGGGGAGATCTGCCAGGCCGACTCACACCTTCATTATTCATCATGATTATTTAACAGAACAGGATTCTCCTGCACTGCAGCCCAGCTCTGCCGCAACATACTCAGTCTCTTTAATGTGGGTTTAAATTCCAGGTTTTCATACATGACTAAAGTGGAAGTTTCTACTGCAATGAGGAGGGATTATTCCTATTTTTTCTGCTTTAATTAGTTTTAATAAAGCAGCTGGCTGACAGTTACAGTTTTAGATGCAGAATAAAGCTCCAGGAACACGTTGGAGAGCAGAGAGATGTTTCCATGCTTTAAACTTCAATGTTGAAGCTCTAAATAAATGACAGAGTGTCCTGTAGTGATTAGAGAGACTGTCCTGAAATGAAAAGCCACCGACTTATTCCAACCTCTGCGTCCCCACAGACCCGCTCACATTGTGCAGAACTTTACATCAAATGTTTCCACAGATGGTAAATACTTGAGGCTTAATTTGGTGTAAATGTGTGTGCAATGATGCAGAAGGCATCCAGTTTTATTACTCAGTGTAAACGTAAATAAACTTAATTTAAGGGTTCGCATAATATTCATGTACCATCAGACGATGTGGAATAAGATGGGTTTTAACAACCGATAAGCAATTGATATGATTTGAGATAAAGGTGTAAAATTGAGATTAAATGGCAAAACATACAGTAAATTAATTATGTGTGTGGTGCAACGTGATTATTGACCACAGAGATCCAGAAAAAAATAATACTGTTTACTTACTGTATCTTATTCCAGTCTACTCTGACAATTAGGTATTTGTCACTGCAGGGAAATGTATTATTTATTATTAATCTGCTTGAGCAGCATAACACAGTGAAACTGGAAACTAAATGACAAAGAAATTCACAAGTTATGAAAAAAGAAAAGAACATTCCTTATTCGCCTTTTCTTCCTGTGCAACTTCTCGGTGGATTTATTGTCGTTTTTCAGAGGACATAGTTTGTCTCTAGGGATTTTCTGATTGCACAGTTAAGTTGCTCCACTTGGTGCCGATAGAGGGCGCTTCAGAGCTGCAGGAGCTGACAGACAGAACATCCTCCTACCTGCTGGACAGGAAGTGAACGTGGAGGAGAGACTGATGTTAAAGCCTCAGTTTGAGTAGGAAGGAAGGAACGTGCAGGTGCCTGCCCTTTTCAAAGCTGGTCACTGGTTGGTAGTTGAACTGGTTTTAGTGGTGTTACTACACTTCCCAGAAGCCACCTGTCAGGTAAACAAACCACCCAGTTCTTCTTCTTCAGTTTTATTCAAAACAAACCACAAACGAATCACTTCCTTTACGGGAGGACGGCGCTAACACACCGCGAGGTTCTAAAAGATTGTGGAATACAGCTTTATTCTTAGACATACACGTTGTAAACAACTTTTTCAACAGCTATTTCTGGAGCTTTTGATTATATCGCATGGTCTTCATTAAATTAGCTCAGTTGTGATGGAACTAAAAGCTATTTTAGGATTTTTAGCACCCTTTAGCTAACTTACAAGTTGAACTTGACAGTTCAAGCCTGTCTACAATCAAGGTCCGCTTACTTTTTTGTTCTGGGGCTTTGACTGTGTCACATGGTCTTCAACACACATTGACTTCTTATCCAGCTTGGCTTCAACTTATACTTGAAGCTCAACATTTAAGCCAAACTTCCTTTGTTGATGAAGTCAGTGAAAAGCTCCAGAACAAGCACGTAATTTGACCTTTATTGGGGATTGTTTTGTCAGCTTTAACATTCACTGTACAAAATAAATTAAATAAAAACAGAACATTTGTTAATGTTGATCCAGTTTAACATCCGGTGATGTGTTTGGTGTGTTTCCTCTTTAACTGATCCCTGTTCATCCTCTCAATGCAATATCAGGGGAAAATAAAAGATGGCTTCCCCCAGGAGAGACAAAGATGGGATTTATGTGGTTGTCTTGTCCATCAGCTTTGACCCTCTCCATGTCAGGGTCATCAGAGACCTTGCTCTGTCCTGGATGGTTGGTGCAGGGCTTTATGGAGAGCCAGCTCTTCATCTAAATCCACTTCCATCTGGTCTAAATTGCCTTTTGTGATAATTGAGGGTGTGTTTTTTTGGGGAGTTTTTTCTGCCTGTGTGTTTGGAGAGTTTGT